ATTATATATATATATACGATGTTAATTATATATAATATACGTTGGGTAAGGGCAAAAAAACCGTTATATATATAATTAACATCTCCCCAACGCAAAAAAAAAAAAAAAATACATCTTGAAAATGATAACATGGTGTTAATAAACTAGGCCGATTGTTTTCTTACAGCATTACAGCATAATTGACATCAGCTTATTAAAAACAGTGTAGTGTCATTGCAGGAGACTGTGGAAGGTTACGTTGATTGTGGGATTCATTGTTGATTCCTTGATTATATTGTGTACTGATTGATTATGTTTCTTCTAAAGTATCACCGTGTGATTGACATCAGCATCAAGCAGTGCAAGTCCAGTGGTATTGACTGCAAAGTCCATGGCCTGTCCATTGTGGGACGTCTCTGCCCAGATGATGATGATGTCGCCGCCAGCTTCTCCTTTCTGGCCTCTGAGAATGAAGACGAAGACGAGCGCAGCAACGCCAGGATGCTGGCCCGACACCGGTCAGCTGAGGGCATCGGCGGCCGAGACATACAGACCAAGGTCTTCGTCTGGGGGCTGAACGACAAGGACCAATTGGGTGGGCCCAAAGGGTCAAAGGTAAAATCTTAAATGTTATGACTTGTGTTTGGAAACAAGATATATGGACTTGTGCAAGGCACTTTAACCCTTCCTGTGGGAATGTATATGTTGGTTTTTCGTTGCATCAAATCGTTGGGATTGAACAGAATTGTTTTGAAACTGACATTTACGAGAAATTTGTTCTCTTTCTTCAATCAGATAAAGACACCTGTTCTGAATGAGTTCCTGTCCAGTTTGAAGGTAGTTCAAGTGGCCGGAGGATCCAAAAGCCTTTTTGTTGGTAAGAGTTGGGCTCCAAAACCCTAGTGTTTCTCCCATTGTTTGGAACTGTTGTTTGCTGCTGCTAGTTCTTTTCGATTCTGGTTTAACTTTCAAAAATGAAAATGATCACTTACAGTGACGGCTGAGGGCAAAGTCTTTGCTTGTGGTGAGGGCACCAACGGACGACTGGGTCTAGGTTCCTCCGCTAATGTCTCAACACCCAAGCAACTTATGGCCCTGCAGGGGCATACAGTCAAGAAAGTCTCTGTCCATTCAGGTATGGTCATGCAATCTGAAAGAACCTCCTTGAGTTCAACTTTCTACATCCTGTTTCTTTTTTCCAAGTACGTATTTGCAAAGTGGAATTTCAGAGTTTTAATTTAAATCTGTCCTTCTATTACTGTGTCTGAATGTTGGAAAGGATACATCAAGACGTGAAGTATTTCATGAAGTCTCAACTACAAGATCACTGACCCTGACCATTATGTTACTTCACTCCACAAACTATTAATTGTTACCTGTCCTAACAGAAACTAGTCAAAGTCATCCGAACTACTTGGAGTCAAAGACCTTAATAAGAATCGTTCACAGTGTAAAGCAATGGGAACCCTCAACATTTTTTCACCCACATGTTATCCATTTCTACCACGATGTCAGTTTGCATGGTTCATCAAAATTATTTATCATCAAAATCATTTATGTTCACATTGAATCTCTGTCTTGCAGGTGGACGTCATGCGATGGCTCTGACTATCGACGGCAAGGTCTTCTCCTGGGGAGAAGGGGATGACGGCAAGCTGGGTCATTTCAGCAGAATGTGAGAATGATCTTATTCTTCAGATACAGTAACCGTGACATGGAAAAACCAATTGTTATTCAAGAAAACTTCTGTGAAGTGCTGGTCTGTTTTTGTGAGTGGGATGATCAGTGAAAATGATTCAAATGACATCCTGTGTGCAAAATATGTGAAAGCTGAATACTTGGACACCCCGCCACTGCTGTTAATACTACGTTATGTTGGTAAACATTGGTAAGAAACACCCAAATTTTGAGGATGACCTTAGGTAGACTTGGCCAGGACAGTCCAAGTAAGTATGACCTCTTACAACTTCAAATATTTGTATGTATGGCGTATTTCTGCACAGGAATTGTGACAAGCCCAGGATGATTGAAGCTCTGAAGACCAAGCGTGTGCGTGACGTAGCCTGCGGCAGCTCCCACAGTGCAGCAGTGACGGCCAGCGGGGAGCTGTACACCTGGGGACTTGGGGAATATGGAAGGCTAGGACATGGAGACAACACTACACAACTCCGACCAAAACTGGTGAGTCCTCTCAGCACTGTGTACTGTGCTGTACCACTGGGTTTCTAGCCTAACTCCAAATTCTGATTTGTGTGGTGTCATGTGATTCTTGAAGTTGCTACACTACCTGACAATGACTTAAGATTAAGGTCATTATTGAAGGTGTGCTGAGAACTGAACCTTAAGTATGCTTAAGCCAAAGAATCAAACAAGATTATAGTCTAACTTTGAGCCCTGGAACAAAGAAGTAATTGATTCATAATTTCTTAGTAGTCTTTATAATGTAATGGTAACAGACGAGTGGGTCTAGATCATAAATACTTCGTAAAGTAACGTGTCTGGTGTCCTATTTAGACAAGAACTGGGTTTGTTCCTGTTGAGAACTTGCACTGACTTTGAGTCTTATTATTGCCTTGTACCAAGACCTCTTCGTAACCAGACTACATAGTGAAGTGACTTCAGTTTCAGTTGTTTAGTCATTTCTTTAGCAGAATTGTAGCCTGTTGGCTCAAAATTAATTGTCTAGCCTTTAACATAATACACAGCTGTAGTTTGTTTGAACTTTTGTTTAATGCTTGGTTTTTTTGCTGGAATACCATTAATTACACTTCAGTTTTTTCCTTGTTCCTCAGGTGAAAGCGCTTGCTGGCCAGCGGGTCATGGAGGTTGCCTGTGGCAGCCGGGATGCACAGACCTTAGCTCTGACAGATGAAGGTCTGGTCTACTCCTGGGGGGACGGGGACTTTGGCAAGTTGGGCCGTGGAGGCAGCGAGGGTTGCAGTGTCCCCCACAATGTGGAGAGACTGAACAATCACGGCATTTTGCAGATTGAGTGTGGGGCACAGTTTTCACTGGCTTTGTCAAAGTCTGGCTCCGTCTGGACTTGGTAAGAAATTTTATGTTTTATCTATGTTGAATCTGTGTTGGCTCTGGAATTGACTTGTTTGGAAAGCTCTGTTGCCTATTCATAGGTGCACATTTAAGTACTGTGAATTCCTCAAAAAGAGTTGCAGTAAGGTTCTCGCTGACAAAAACAACTCTAAATGCCATATTAGGTGTTAGAAAAATTGATGTACAACCCCTAGATGATCAAGCTCACAATTTGATCTAGTATTTTTGTGGCCAATTAGAAATCAATCTAGTTTATACCAGCCTAAATGAACTTCAAAGAAATGATAACAAAGTGTCTGATTTTAAACAGATGAGGTACTTCAATGAAAAGTTGTTAGTTATCCCAATTGATCCAGGAGGCTGTCAGAAATACAAGTCTCACTCATAACATACTTTACTTGACTTACAAATCCTTTCTTAGTTCGCACATGCACAAGTGAATGGTTGTCTGTTTTCCATGACCATACTGCAGGGGCAAAGGGGATTACTTCCGCCTAGGTCATGGTGCAGACTCCCACGTCCGTAAGCCCCAGATGGTGGAAGGTCTGAAAGGCAAGAAGATCATCCACGTTGCCGCTGGTGCCCTGCACTGCCTGGCGGTCACCGACACCGGACAGGTGTTTGCTTGGGGGGACAACGACCATGGACAACAAGGAAACGGTATTACAAGTGTTACAGTTGGGATTTCTCCACTGAAAATTAAATCATTGAAAAACTTGAAAGGATTGGATTTGTGTAAATTGCATCCTACTTTGGTGTCAAATCTTTACATAGCTCTTGAAGGCACTGTTCATTGTGTTGTGTGCTGCAGTGAGTTTTAGAGCCTAATCAGTTGCATGCACTTCTTAGAGAGGGATGGATGTAAGAAGGGCCTTCTCCACAACTTTTGCACCTGGCCGAAAATGTTGTCACCAAAGTTACCTAGAGGTTGACAGTTTGGTGAACGTGTCTGCTTTGTTTTAGGGACAGTCACTGTAGACAAGAAGCCAACTCTAGTGGCAGGCTTGGAGGGTGTGCGGATCACTAATGTCGCCTGTGGATCATCCCATAGTATCGCCTGGTCTACCACTGATGCTGCAGTGCCTTGCATGCATGAACCTGTGCTCTTCACTACACCCAGGGATCCGCTGGGGGCCACAGAGCTTGGTAAGCTATCACGGTGCAAATCAGGTACCCTTTGAGAAAATTCTTACCTGTTGTGATTATGTGAGAACTGGGCCCATAGAGCAGCTCAGGAGAAATTATCACACTCATATTGGCTCACTCAAACAATCAGCAAATATGGTATGATATTTTGCCTGGTAAAACTTTTCTAAATAACCTGGTAAAGTACCTGGTAGATTGTCTTTCACTGATTGGGAAGGCTCACTTCCTCTCAGTGATTTCTTTCAAGCTTTGTTTTATTCTATCATGACTGAAAGTGCCTAGCTCTTCCAGTATGACTGTCTCTCTTCGTATTGGTGCGCCCAGGGATTGACTGGTATTGATCCACATAGAAGAGGTTTGGCATGACCTCATGGGGATATGATTCATGATTCTTAATAATGGGGCAGACATTTTCACTGGGCACATGTGTCCTTATGCAAGGCACTTTATCCCATCTTGTCTCACTCCACCATGGAGTGTGTATTATAGTTGTGGGTTTGCAGTAAACTTGGAATGAACTGACATCTTGTTCAGAGAAAAAAAATTACATTTGAACCATTGTTGGCAAGGAAACTGTAAACGAATTCAGGCCTCAGGACAAATTTGATGTTTACTTCTTTGTCTTTTTTTTTCTGCCAGGTGTGATTGGAGAACCAGGCCAGGACCCTAATGATAAGAGTAGCAGTTCCCAGAGTAGCAAGCAGCGTCCTTCCCTGGCCAAAGTGATGCTGTCACTGGACACCAACGCCTCACGTCAGATGGCCCTAGGGCAAATCTTGACTGCCCTGCAGATCATCTATGCAAGGTGAGCACTCTTCTGTGAGACATATGGAACTTAAAGTGTGGTGAATTGTCAAAGATTGGAACCTTAAAATGACAGGAACAATTTCAGTTGTCAAGAAAGGTGAGCTTAATACTGATTGATTACTATTTGGAACGGAAACCTGGGTTGTTCAACAGTCGGAGGTAGGCAGAATATTACTCCGAAGTTTGCTTGAAGTGCTTAATGCCAGTTCATGGGAATGCAATAGGAACTTGATGCAATGACATATTTCTAGCAAAAACGGCCGGACTTGAAAGGTGCTCGACTTTTGCAGATACTTGCTTTGATGGCAGATAATTCTCCTTTCCTCTGAGTTAAAACCGTCCTTACCTGTCCAATTAAATGTTACCCGAAAGAGGATTGGTGCTTATTTTGTTACTTTATGTTATAAACAGGGATGCTGTTGTTGGTTCATTGATGTCAAGTACCAGCATGGCCCTGGCTGAATCCACCCAGCCTTCTGCTGCTGTCACTCCTAGCGAGGGTCCCATGTCTACCGCCACCAATCCCTTAGACATGAGTGAAATCTCTCTCAGTACTGATGGCACTGAGGCAAGTCTAATTGTGGATGGTTTAACTTTTAAGTCCTGAGTGGAATGAGATGTTTTTGATTCACATTTGATATTGATATGATTGACTTACACAGATTTTGTCATCTTTGGTATATACTTGTTCTGTAATTTTGATACATACAAAACATCGAAGTAATTTTGTGAATTTTTTATAGGAGCTATTTTTGCATGATTAGCTATTGGTATTTATTAATACATGGTTTCTTTACATACGAGAAGTCTGAATTAATTACGTATGATTGATTCATTTAATCACATACAGCCGGCTATCGATGGTGATGGTGATGCACCAAGTACATCAGCACATACCTTCCCATCAGCCGGGGCTACTGTAGTCCCAGAAACTATTACCAGTGCTGATCAGGTAAGATACATTGACAGGATTACCTAGATTCACTTTTTCTCTTAATTCTTAATGGTCTTTTCTGTACTTTGTACAAACAATAAAATCCCTAGATTACTGCTTCCATTGTTTATCATACTTAGCTTTCTCCTCGTTACTCATTATCAAGGTAACAAGCCCAGATGATAAGGGCCCAGTCAGCCCTCTTCCCTCCCTGGATGACTTCACCAGCACCTTGCAGCCCGATGATGCCCGTGTGCTGGTTGACCTCCTCAAGCTGGCTGTGGCCGTCAGGGCTGGCCATCATGGTAAACAGGCCATCTCGGACACGCTGACCGCAATGGCAAAATACTACCCTGAGGTGAGAGATACTTTGGCACTGAGAATCCAGACCAATAGTCTGCCAAGAATACCAACCCCCTTTCCAAAGCTCGTCTTTTTTCTTGTCTTCATCAATTTAATACTGTTTGGACCAAGTGAGAGTTCTTAACATCCTTGCCTCATATTAGACAAATTGCTTTTGTAGCACAAAAGAGAATTACAGTGAGCGTAAGAGTTTCATTCTCAGGAATTGAAATGTTTAAAATTGAAACCTGAATTCCAAGATGGAATCAAAGTTGGGATGTGGAAACCCTCCAACACTCCTAATGTGAAACACAGTTTGTGTCCATTTTGAAAAGGCGAGAACACCAGGTGTTCCCATTTGAGAACATTTACCTACATGTTTGCATTCCAACTTGGGAACAGTTCATTCCAGTGAGGTACACAATGGATTCACTGATTTTTGTCTCGGAGAATGTGCCTAGTATCAAAGGAAGCATACACAAAAAAGAACACTACACATTTTCAGATGTTCTTTCAAACTGTCAAACAGTCTTAATTTTTAACAAAGATATTATTTGCATAAATTCATTATTTGCATCATTCTTTAAAGTAAAGGATTTGAAAAAACCTAGGAAATCAATATCAAGGAATTGAATTTTCAGCACTGCAGTGTGAACATGTTTATATGTCAGTTATTCATGTTCAGCTTGAAAAATCTGTTTATTGGGAAGAGTTGCTGGCTACTGCATTGACAATGATCTGTTTTTGATTTGGAATATCCTTGCAGGTTGCGGACATGCTGTTGGAACTTTGCGTGACAGAGTTGGAAGATGTTGCCTTGGATACAGAGTGTGGGCGGTCAGCCCTGCAGCCTGTGATTCAGGAGAGCCCCCATCCTTACGCTGACGACACCATCACCAACGGGCACGTCAAGATACCAGGTCTCTAGGATCAGAACAACAAGACCAGTTCCCAAAACTTATGTTACAATTAGTTGCTTTTCAACCAAATTAACTATTTTACAGACATTAATAATTGGTTAGATTCTGGCATTTAACCACTTCCTGCCTGGTGGAATTTGAATACATGGGACGAGTTCCCAGGTGATTTTCAAGATTTTCTGTGTTCAAAAATCTTCAAGAATTCCTAGCTTCATTTACTGGACGTTTACACCCACACAAATGACTTTCTGGTAGTTTCTCTAATCTGACAGACAACATCTATTGACGTCTGAGTATTTCAGCCAGGCCTGCCGTCCAGTAAAGAGAGCCCAGATTGTGTGGTGTTGCGTAATTTCCTTGTTTCCCGAAAGTGGCCCAGTGCATTACTGAACGGTAGTGGCATCTTTTCAAATGCAGCTGGATTAACGTGCAGCAGTACTGTATTGCTTATCGCTGGAGTGCTGGAGCACTTTTGTCCTCGCTGATAATCCGCGGGCTCTGAATGCCACAAACAGTGGAATACTGTTTTAAAACAATGACAGGTTACCTCTGCTAATGCCAGCTGAAAAATGATGGTAATTCCCAGCAGAAGGTCTTTTGTTCTGAGTACACTCTTTTGTTACAAGGCCCAGCTCCTTGTCTGGTTTTTGGCAGCGCGGCTATGCGTACAAACCCAAAGAGATCGGTAGTGGAAACCCCGACACTGAGTGGTTAAAAATACCCAATTCAAATGTTCCTTTCAATCAGTTCAAACCTTCTGCTCACCTGTAACCAAACTGAAAGTTTAAAATTATTTTCATCAGGAGCGGAAGCTCTGAGAGTGGAATTTGATCGGCAGTGCTCAACTGAGCGACGTCATGACCCACTGACCATCATGGATGGAGCAGGAAGGACAGTCTCTGTTAGATCAGGTCAGTGTCCTATAATTTGTCATGTCCAGTCCTGTGACATTCATAGATTCAAGTTATCAGGATGATGAAAACAAGAATGATAGCATTGTGGCTTACATGTCTGAAGAGATTGCTGGAGGTGAGAGAAATGTATGGCGTGAGAGTAACAAAACATAGATACTCAGTATTTGGTTAGTCCGCAGAATCATGTGGTTATTAAAGTTAATATGAATTCTCCTTCAATTTCTTTGTCTTTGAAGGGAGGGAATGGTCGGATTGGTCAGCGGAGCTTCGTATCACCGGTGAGGAGCTGAAGTGGAAGTTCACCAGCGACGGTTCGGTCAATGGCTGGGGTTGGCGCTTCACGGTCTTCCCTATCATGCCTGCTGCTGCCCCCAAGGACCTGCTGTCAGACCGGGCTGTGCTGGCCCGTCCCTCCATCGACCTGGTAACCTGTCTGCTGGACTTTAGATTGGAATCCTCCACTGACCGGAAGATCATGCCTCGGCTGGCTGCAGCACTGGCCGCCTGTGCTCAACTTGGTTCTCTCGGTGAGGGGTTGACTGTTTCACCTCCATTTTTTACATTCATTGTGGTTAAATTTGTGGTTGAAAGTCACTGAAAGAGCCCTATAATTGATGTTTGAGAATTTCAACCTTTAATTGGTTTACTTTCTATAGCTGCTGCCCAGCGCATGTGGGCCCTGCAGAGATTACGGAAGCTAATTGCAACTGAGTTCCATGGCAATCTCAATGTGGAAGCCATCTTGGGCTTGGAAGTCTCTGATGAGTCTGCCGTTGCCTACAACGTAAGCTTCTTAATGGTACCATCCGATATTAATGTGATCTTACTTGCCAGCGTGACCCCAATTTTTGACCCAAATTTCACTTGTTATTTGACTTTAGTTTAACTCAATTAACTTGTATTTTGACAAGGCCCCTTCTGTCTGCAGTATAAACTTGTGCCGTTTTTTATATCAAACCATAACCCTGACCATATTTTAAAAACGTAAATCTTAACTGAAGGTTACTCCAAATGACACCTGACCCAAAGTGCCCTAACAAACTCCAGTTTAACCCCATTCCACAAAAAATACTTCTTAAAAATGAGCTTCATCTAACAATGGACATTGATGACTCTTGACCCCAGCTGACCCACTTTCGACCCCCACCTGACTCAGTTTTGACTCAATCAAACAAATACATTCGCAGATAAACATATAATCTCATGAAATCCCTGCACTCTTTCCAGGCCTTCAATGGCACAGCCCTTGCTGCACTGGTCAAAGGTCTCCCTGAAGCCTTACAACGCCAATATGAGTACGAGGATCCCATCGTGCGAGGCGGCAAGCACCTCCTGCACAGCCCTTTCTTCAAAGTCCTGGTGGCATTGGCCTGTGATCTTTGCCTGGATGCCCTCAGCTGCTGTGTAGAGTCACACCGTTGGGCCTGGTTCCGACGTTACTGCACTGCCGCCCGAGTTGCGAAGTCGCTGGAGAGTCGTATTCAGCTACCGGACATGTTTTGTGAAGAGGTACTTCATATTTGCGACATTGATTACAAAATACTGAAATGGGCTTCTGTCTGTCTGATCAAGTGTTTTTTTAATTATTTAGAGGTTTAGAAATGATAAGGTAAAGCATAAATTGGAAAAATTATGATATCTGACAAGCTTTAAATTGAATTCATATTTAAGGCTTAATATGAGTTATAATTTGCCATTTCTGGTCCCTTGGACCTGAAACTTTCAAAATGGAAAGATACGAAATTACCCAGTGCTCCATTCTGTCAAGTTTGGTTGTATTTTACAGACGGGAAAAGAGGAAAACTGAATCATATGAGCAGTTTTCAACTTCATTATCCCGAGATTTGTGGATGAAGTAATGTTTTGGATTGTTTGAATGATTAGGTGATGAAGAAGATCAGAGAAATCAGTGCCGAGGGTGACAGTACTGTACAACGTGAACATGAGGACCACAACGAATTCAAACGGGAACATGATGAACAGATCCTGATGTGGATGAACAGGTTTGTGGCAATATATCAACTAATTGTCAACTTATGTCTGCTAACTGTACATTGTGGACTCTCTAATGGACTGTGTTACATTCTAAAGTGATGAATTAGGCTTAAGAAAAGACATCATCTGCCAAGTAATTAACTTGTTAAATGTGGATGTCAGATTTTCCTTTAAAAAAATCACACAAATTCTGATAAAATTCCACATGTAGTAAAGTCTGTGCGCAGTGCAAAGTAAAAGAACTTTCCATTTCTCCATGTCATGGATATAAGCACATGATTCCCCCTCAAAGTCTGCGGAAATTTATCCATGAAGAAGGATGATCTTAAGTTTGCCAAGTGTTTCTGCAAATGAGGATTATAGGTGATCAGCCACTTGTCCAGCACCTTATCTTGCAACTAATTAATCACAATTGTCCACTAATGTAAATTTTCTCCTGAGTTCTTTATTGTTCACTTATTTTGTCGTTTATGCTTTGTCATGCTCATGACTTTTATTTTGTTTATCTTACAGCGTTTTTACTTTCTAACAATATTTGTTGTTTTGTTCTGATATAATTATTGTTTTTTCTTAGTTTTTGTGCATTTTGTATTTGTGTAAATAAATGTACATATATATTTAATTTAATGTATTACAAACCTTTTAATTTGGAGACCCCCTCATAGAGACTTTGTTTGTTTTGGATGATCCTCTTTAAATTTCCTCTTATTAACTTTTCTGCTTTTTTTTTTAATTCTGAGAATAAAGCAAATGTAAATGTATGATTATTCAGCTGATCCTTCCCTTTCCTTTAGGCGGCCTGATGACTGGACTTTGTCCTGGGGTGGCAGTGGCACCATCTACGGCTGGGGTCACAACCACAGGGGTCAGCTGGGTGGCATTGAGGGGGCAAAGGTCAAAGTGCCTACCTCCATCGAGTCGCTAACAGCACTGCGGCCTGTGCAGATTGTTGGTGGGGAGCAGACACTGTTTGCTGTGACTGCAGATGGCAAGGTGGGAATGTCTTCATAGCTAATGAAATTTGGGAACATATTTCTACTCCTACATTGTCACTCCAAAATGGCTGGTCCAGTTCTTATGCCAGGAATATTTTCCTTCCTAAGCTGGGTCCATTTCATGGAGGGTGCTAGGCAGAACATTTTTCTGCACAAATTTTCATCCTGGGCAATTTCCTTGGTAACCAACCATGCGTTGTGTACATGATATTTTGGTTGGTAACCTGCTCTTTCTAAGCAGATACCTAGCTTTGGTCTTTGAGCTCCATTCCTCACCTCAGTCTTTAACGCAATATAGGAATATTCTGAGTCCTGCGATGCTGTTTTACTGACAGAATATAAGAATTAGATTGATCACTGCTCTTGTATCCATTTTTCTCCTCCATTCAGGTCTATGGCACTGGTTATGGGGCTGGAGGTCGTTTGGGAATTGGCGGTACAGATTCAGTCTCCACCCCAACTCTGCTTGAGTCAATCCAGCATGTCCACATCAAGCGAGTGGCTGTCAACTCAGGTGGAAAGCATACGCTTGCACTGTCCATTGAAGGAGAAGTGTATTCGTGGGGTGAGGGAGAAGATGGGAAATTAGGCCACGGCAACAGAACGTAAGTCCTTTCTCAGGATTCTTGTATTATATCTAAAACTATTTAAAGTGATTCCACAGAACAGATTGTGTTAAGAGTTGAGTTTATTGACAGAAAGAGTGAGTGATTTTGCTTAGTGCACAAGAACTTTACAGCGAAACATTTTCCTGGATGACTTGTTGGTCAACTGCTTCTCCCATGTAAATTTGCCTGAGCCAGTCGGCATCTGTGAAAAATAATTTTGTCACACCTTTCCAGGCAATGCGATCGGCCTAGAGTCATTGAGAGCCTGCGTGGGAAGGAGGTTGTGAACATTGCCTGTGGCGGTGCCCACAGCGCATGCATGACATCAAGCGGAGAGCTGTTCACCTGGGGTAAAGGCCGCTACGGACGGCTTGGTCATGGGGATAGCGAAGACCAGCTCAGACCAAAATTGGTTAGATTTGTTTTATTTGATCTACTACCGTAAACAGCACTCGACCGAAGTGGTCCCAGTGGATAACTTGTAAAGACTGTCAACCTCTCTCAACCAAGGGTTTTTTTATTACACATTCAGTTTTAGTTGACCACATCAGTTTTCTCTGTACAAGGTCACGTGCCTTTGACCATTCATTTATAAGATGATACAAAATCAGTTAAGAATCCTTGATGAACCATTGATTGATTTTGGCGTACTTGCCTTTGTATGTTCTCAAACTGTGATTGATCTTCGGTTAAGTCATGTTTAGGTATCGTAAAAAGTTTGATGTGACAGAAGGAACATTCGTAAAATAGTGAAAAATGTAAATGTAACGCTGTGTTCAGGTTTAGTAGTAAGAAATGGCTTTTTGTCTTCAGGTGGATGCCTTGAAAGGTTTCCGTGTGGTTGACGTAGCCTGTGGTAGCGGTGATGCCCAAACCCTCTGCATCACCGACGATGACAATGTCTGGTCTTGGGGAGATGGTGACTATGGCAAGCTGGGTCGCGGTGGCAGTGATGGCTGCAAAGTACCGCAGAAGATTGACATCCTGAGTGGGGCAGGGGTGTGCAAGGTGGAATGTGGCTCACAGTTCTCCATTGCACTGACCAAGTCAGGCATTGTCTACACCTGGTGGGTTCCTTCACTTCAAGAAATCTTTTGAAGAAAGTTTTTTGTTTATCATAAATGGGAATTTCAAAGTGTCTTGCAGATGTTTTAGTTTTAAGATTTGACTGTGTTATAAAATATATTATTCATTACTGTCAAACCATTTTCAAAAATTATTCTCCTAGAGGCAAATATTCTTAGTCAGATGAAAAAATCAGACTGCTTTTTACAACTGGGTGCAATGGTTTTTACCCTGATTTTTCAAAACTGAAAGGGTAATGCCTGTTGTCATCAAAACTGGGATGGGGGGAGTAATTTTCGATAAAGTGGAATATTGATTTCTGTGCCCTCTTTAGTTACGTCATGTTAATTAGTGACCATCACTTTCATATTTACATTTGCCATGAACTAGCCCTTGCTGCGTAATTTTCTATATTTTTTAAATGTCAGTTGGAATAAAGTACTTCATTCCTGACATTCCATGCAACAAAAACTTGAAAAGCAGTATAACTGATTGCTTTTTCTTTCTTCCAAAGGGGAAAGGGTGATTACCACCGCCTTGGTCATGGCACTGATGACCACGTACGGCGCCCTCGCAAGGTAGCTGCCCTCCATGGCAAGAAAGTCATCTGCGTGGCAACGGGGTCACTGCACTGTGTCGCCTGCACAGATACTGGTCAGTATAGGCCTATATACTAATGACATCACACGTTGTTTACATGTGCACTTTCCTGTGGAGCCAGCGGGAGCTTACACTCCATTGAGCACCATAGTAAAGAACACAAGTGTGACATCATCAGTACAGATATTAAAAGACTTGACAGAGCAAGGGTGTGAACCTGAGACCTGTTAGTTCCAATGCCAGTGCTCCAGCGATGCAGTTGGACAGCACTGATGGGCATAGTGCCGATGCTCCAGATTTGTCCGATTTCTGACACTGAATATTTAAATTTTTTATGCCTGTGTGATTTCCCCCCCCCCAAATTCATTCAGGTGAGGTATTTACCTGGGGTGACAACGACGAAGGGCAGTTGGGAGATGGAACTACCAATGCCATTCAGAGGCCTAGGATGGTCACAGCATTACAGGGTAAAAGCACTGCAGTCTTGGTGTATTCCTTATTGAAATCTTTATTTCTTATTTAAGCCAGAGATGGGCTCTAAGTTTCTTTTAGTTTGGTTTGGTTGTAATATGTTTTTGATTTCGTATTTGTATACTTTCAATTTATGCAGTTTGGAATTGTTTTAAACCAATATTGTTTTAATGTGTTTGAGTCATTGTGTCAGAGTAAAGATGTTTGCACAGCAACCTGATGAATAGCTTCATAAAAGTTAGTTTGGATGAATTATGATTGCTGGGTTATAATATTGGACTTAGATGGCACTTGAGCTTTTGGCAAGCCTGGTGGCCAGATGAAGTGGAGGGCAGTGTGTGAGGGGGTATTGCAACCCTTCTTACTGGACTAAGCATCAAGTTTTTACAGACTTATCTCATGTCTGCTTTCCCACCAAAGACAAAAAGATCACCAACGTAGCATGTGGCTCAGCCCACACCATTGCCTGGTCCACTAGCAAGCCGGTCAACGCCGGCAAACTTCCCAAGACCATCCCTATGGAGTACAACCTTCTGAGAGATATCCCCATCCCCATCATCCGCAACCGCCTGGTGCTCCTGCATCACTTCTCAGAGCTCTTCTGCCCATCTATACCCATGTTTGACCTGCATGCTGAGGAGGAAAACAAGGCTGGCACTGGCACGCTGGTTGGTATTGATGCCCTAAGAGGGCTACTGGTGTCTTCAGGCAAGGTGAGGATGAGATGGTTGGCAAATTCAGAAGAGATCCGTCTGTCACTGGTAGTACAGACTATTTCAAGTACACAAGTGCTGTGAAAGCTTAACTAGGTTTGAGCTCTGATTTTGAAGACTTAATCACCAGTTAGATATTCGTCAGGCCACAACATCATAAACATTAATAAAAGAAGTTTCACGCACATTTGCCACCTGCAAATATTTTGACAAAATACAAAAAAGTTCATGTTTCTCAAAAACTCCTTGACTGATTTTTGTTGCCGCCATCAAAGGGACTTGAATATTGTCAACTTTTTTCGCTAAACTAAAATCAAGTTCTGTTATTGAAAAGTCTAAAAGTGAACAGCTTATATTTACTTAGTTTGAATTCTGAAACTTGACACCTTTATAATCTATTTATGGATCTAGCATTTCTGTTCATTGCCTGCACCCTCAAAAACTTTTTGAGAATATTGTTAAAAAAATCTTGATGATAGTTGCAAATTAGAGGTTTTTTTCACTGTTTCAGAGAAGATTCCATAATTCTTAAGAAACCCTTCTCCCAATTTTGTCAACAGGAAGCTGCATTCCGCAAGGTTGTCCAAGCCACCATGGTGCGTGACAGACAGCATGGTCCAGTCATTGAGTTGAATCGCATCCAGGTCAAGCGTTCCCGCAGCAAGGCGGGGATGGCCGGACCAGACGGCACCAAGTCAGTCTTTGGCCAGGCCTGCTCCAAGCTCAGTCAGTTTGGCTCTGACAGCTTGCTGCTCCCTCACCGTGTCTGGAAAGTCAAATTCATTGGTGAGTTTTACCTTTTAGAATCTCTGTGTCACCCAAAAACTCTTCAGCAAATATGCCATCACTAAATATTAGCAGTTTAAAGAGCTGCTAAGACTATCATTTGTAGATCTAACAAAATTCTATTTAACCCTAACAGTCCTTAGCCCATTAGTTTCAATGCAATATTTCACTGACCATACAGGATTAAGGCTAAAACTAGCAGAGTGCCATGCTGGGCAATTTAAATCTCTTATTTTGCCTTTTAGGGGAGAGTGTTGATGATTGCGGGGGTGGATACAGTGAATCTATAGCCGAGATGTGTGATGAGCTGCAGAATGGCTCCACCCCTCTCTTAGTGCTGACACCCAATGGGCGTGATGAGGCTGGAGCCAACCGTGACTGCTTCATACTCAATCCAGCTGCCAAGTCACCCACTCATCAGAACATGTTCAGGTTCCTAGGTAGGCTTGCTTACTCACTTGGGGTATCTTTATTTGGAGGTTTTTAATAATTTATTTCTGAGATTTTGTGGAAAACGTTCAACTTCTGCACTACATTTATGGAGTAATTCATCTGTTTTCAGATTTCACTTTGTTTTGAAAAGCCATCTTTGGCTGCCTTTATAGAAACTGTTTATATTCTTACTTCAACAAAATACAATTTTGAAAAGACTTGGGTTATTTTTTGAAGGGGGGTATGTTAGATACTGTGCACCTTATCAACCACCTCCTGCTGGGTGGAATTTGAATATGCAGAACAAGTTCCTGGGCAGTTTTCAAGATTTTCCATATTCAAAAATCCTCAAGAATTCATAGCTTCATTTACTGGACGTTTACACCCACACGAAAGACTGTCTGGTGGCTACTCTAGTCTGACAGGCAACTTCCACTGATGTCCAAGTATTGCATCCAGGCCTGCCGCCCAGTAAAGAGATCCCAGATTGTGCAGTGTTGTGTAATTTCCTTTGTTCACGAAATTGGTCCAGTGCGTTGCTGAATGGCAGTGGCATCTTTTCAAATGCAGCTGGATTAGCGTGCAGTGGTACTGTATCGCTTATCGCTGGAGTGCTGGAGCACTTTTGTCCCCGCTGATAATCCGCGGGTGCTGAATGCCACAAACAGTGGTATACTATTTCAAAGCAAAGACGGATTACCTAAGCTTATGCCAGCCGAGAAATGATGGCAATTCCCAGCAGCTGGTCTTTTCTTCTGAGTACAGTCTTTTGTTACAAGGCCCAGCTCCTTTGTCCGATTTGGGCACCCTGGCTATACATACAAACCCAAGGAGTCCGGTACTGGAAACCCCGGCATTGAGTGCTTAAAGCTGTGATATTGTATTATGCTCTAATTTGGACAGTGACAGGAAATCATAGAAATGTAAAAGGAAGTAGCCCACTTATGCTCAATTTTCCCTATGTTTTCCTGACAGGTATTCTGATTGGTATTGCTATCCGTACCGGCAGCCCCCTCAGCCTATCCCTTGCCGAGCCGGTGTGGAAGCAGCTGGCTGGTATGCCACTCACTGTCACTGATCTTACTGAAGTGGACAAAGACTATATGCCAGGTAAATAGAAATCATTCGAGCAGTGGATTAAAAGAAGGAAGTAAAAATTCCTCTCTTCTTTATTACTTTCCAGTTCTAGTGTCTTGTACCCTTACCCTGTTTCAGTTGCCGAGCCCTAAGGAATTTGGGGGAAAAGGTTGTAACACAACCTTTTATCCACTGTCCAAACGTTTGTGGATGTATTTCTGGTATTATCAAGGAAACAATTATATCTAAATATTCAAGGGATTTCATTGAACATCTGAGGTATTCCTTTGTTTTGTGTGTGTAATTTTGGCAATCCTTCAGTTGCAGTTCATGTCATGTTAGTTGTTCTGATGCCTACTTAAATTTGTAACTCTAGCATTGCTCTCCTCTCTTTTATGTTTCTTTTTTCATTTATTCCTTCATTACAGTTTATTTTAAAACTGAACAAACAACAATTCTGAGGAGTACCAATGTCTGATTTACGGTGCAAATGAATAAGAAGGAAATAACATATCAAAAGTACAACAAAAAGCAAAAAAGGAGGATATTATAGAAACTATAAAAGCGACTAAAAATGAACAGGTAATAAATAAAATATTGGGAAAGTAAACAACAACACCAAATAAAAATACAAGACAAATTTATAGACATGTACTGACATTTTAAAATCTTGTTCTCACTTAACTTTTGGGACAACTTTTTTTACACTTTTGTTTGTTCGGAATGAACCAGGTCTGATATGTATTCGTGACATGGAACCTGATGCCTTCTTGTCCATGGAAATGGCATTCAGTACCCCTAGTGCCACAGGCATGGATGTTCCATTGAGCACCAAACATGCACATATTACTCTGGAGAATAGGAATGAATATGTGAGGGCAGCACTCAACTACAGGTGAGTGAAAAACTTCTAATGTACAAGTTATTTGTTGTAGATTTTCTACATGCATTAAATGACAGATTCTTTCATTAAAAAAATTTACAGTATTTCTTAAAATGAAACTGATTTAATCACCCTGTTTCTTTTTACAAAAACAGTAAAAATGATGCCAGAGGTTACAAAAATGCACCCTTAAAGAATTTGAAAGAAGAGCACCCCAACTTCCACAAATTTATCTCTAGATTAACTCTACAATTAACTGTTATATCAAACAACTGTGTGCCTTTCAAGAAAAAACTTGATGTAAGTCAAGAACTGAGAATGCATTTTTTAATTTCCTAGCCAGTGGCACAACTCTTGTGTCAACTTGTCAAAAAAGTTATTACATTCAGTATATCATTTGATAATAGTTTGTGACTCAGGCTTTCCCCCAAACTCAAGTTCAAGTATATAGACCTGTCATATTTCAAATATTTCATCTTGACACCTGCTGGCCATCTGTCATTTCAGGTTGCATGAGTTCGATGAGCAGGTGCAGTGGGTGCGTGAGGGTATGGCCAGGGTGGTCCCTGTACCTCTCTTGTCTCTTTTCACAGGCTCTGAACTTGACACCATGGTAAGAACACAAGAATTCCCTCAGCAAGGGTATCATGTTTCATACTTCATTTACACTGTCATCCATGTTAACCGATCTGTCTTAAAGATACCTGTTGCGCTGGGTAGAATGTGGAGAAAAGATGCTGAAATTTTTAGTTTAAGCTAGAAAGAAACTTTTGTAGAAATATTTTGTGGAAACCCACAGTATCGGGCAAAAACTGAACATTTGTAAGCTTGTCAGCGCAAGGACTTTTCGAACCCTGGTCATGTAGCTGAAAGGTAAAGGATATTCCAACTCAACCATGGAACAAATTTTGTCCAGCATTGGTCACACAATTGACATATACCTTTAAAATACCTTTCAAATGATAGAGTGTGTGAATTTTGATATGCGGTCTTCCCACTTTGTCCTCGATTGACAGTTTGATTTGTTAACCTGAATGACAAATTCCCATGTGGTTTCTCTCCTGGCAGGTCTGTGGTAGTCCAGACATCCCCTTGCATCTGCTCAAGTCGGTCGCCACCTACAAGGGTATTGATGCAGGTGCTCCCCTGGTGCAGTGGTTCTGGGAGGTCATGGAGGAATTCACCAACACCGAGCGCTCGCTCTTCCTTCGCTTTGTCTGGGGGCGAACCCGTTTGCCCCGCACCATCGCCGACTTTAGAGGCAGAGATTTTGTTCTGCAGGCAAGCATTTGGAATTTGTCTGAGATAATGTCACTCTTGATATTGTTCTGTACTTTATCATTTTGTAAAGTGTTGATTTCTTTGCTCAAATTTTCAATATGTTGGTACCACCCTCACTTGTTGATGTCATGCCCCACCCCTAATTATTTCTGCACAGAGCCAACAGTGAATGCGTTTGTAATCTTTTAATTACCTACACAGAGCAGGCACCATTCATGTTTGCATTACCAGAGAGCTAGCATATACACTGAGCAGATGAGTGTGGATTATGTTGGTGTTCATTTGGAAGACAAAAATTGTTGTCATGTGATTATTGTCTGGCTATTAAACTAACTACCGGTCATCACTGGATGTTGCATCTTGTTCTGATACCCAGGTCTTGGACAAGTACAGCCCACCAGACTTCTTCCTGCCCGAGTCCTACACCTGTTTCTTCCTTCTGAAGTTGCCTCGCTACTCCTGCCGGGAGATCCTGCGAGAAAAGCTCAAGTATGCCATCTACTTCTGCAAGTCCATCGACACAGACGACTACGCCCGTATCGCATTGACGGGCGAGGCGGCAGGGGGCAACTCCAGTGACGATGACAGTGATGACTTTGAGGGCTTGGACAGTGCCCCCGAGTCTGAGGAAATTCCTTGAAGATGAGAATCCTTTCAATTCAAAGATGTGACGTTGAGGTTCAGACCATGCGAGACAAAGTCAGAATACTTCAAATCAGTCTGTAGCTTCTTGCATGCTAGGACGGTATATTATGTGTTGTTAGGGTGACATGATGGCTTTGTGATTGTTGTAAATATGCCATTTGCATTGACCATTAAAAACTGAAAGATTGCAACAGGTGTTTGAGGAATTTAGTCTGATTTCACAGTATTAATCTTATCAAATTTGAAGTAGATTTTGATTAGAGATCAGTGGATGCCCCCACCTCCCCAAACCAAGATGTAAAAATCTTGTAGAAATTGAGTCTGTTTGCAGCTTATGTGTTATCAGTGTTGAAAACGAACCTGCATATCCAATACAAGAGTGTCTTAATGGCAGTGTGTAACCGAGGTATTGTGTTGTGGAAAACGGTGAGCCTTGCCCACATGTTGCTGCCTGATAACTCCTATCTGATAAATGGCACAGAGAACGAAACTGATAATGTGAACTGGAAAGGTGATCTGTTATGTTTTAGTGTAAATCATAAAACAGGTTCTTTGTTTACAAAACAGAGATAAAAGTAACATATATAAGCATGCAGTTTGTAATTTTTAGCATCTTTATCGTGGATCAATGCAGCATGAACTTAGGAAAAAGATGCAATTGTAATAAATGTATGGTTCCTTAAAACTTTCTAATTGGTCATTGTATACAGAAATATACATATTCATGGTGTAGTTCTTGTTGGGTATATCTCCTTCGCCTTGGGTATTAAACTTAAGGTACAAGTTTTCTTGTTCTTTCTTTTTTTTCTTTTTATCAAAAACTGACAGCACATATTGGCAAAGTATCCTATATGCTTTTATCTGTAAAAGTGGTGTGCTGTATATTTTTGCTGAGTATGGGCATATTGTCTCAGTCAGAGTGATGTTTTTTCCTGGTTGTGAATTAACTGCTTAATTATAACTCCGCCATTTCATTTGTGAAGTTTACTACTGGTGCTGGGTTGTAACCTCAATGCCATTAAGTTGTCACCTCATTGTTCAATTCTGGCCTCATGGTTTGCATTTGACCCCACCGACAGACCAGACATTTTATGTTGTGACTCCATCGCTCCATTTTTGCCTCATTTCAGAATTATTGCATGCTCTCGTCACCTGTTGATGTTGACCCGGCATGTCGACCTTACTGCTAGCTGAGCTAATAGGGGATAGCAGATTTCATTAGCAAAATATAGTTCTGTTCATCTGTTTAATTTTGCTTAGCACACATTTGTCTAGCAAGCAGCTTCTAACAATAAGCTCTTGGTATGATCTTAGGTTTCCTTGAAGTTTCTTGGTTCTAAACTCATGTATTGAAACTAATCAAATTAAAAAGCGTGATTTTTAAAAAGTATGTGTTTGTTAACAAAATGTATACCTACCTACTTGTGTTGTGGTAGTTGGTATAGGCTAAGAAATGAACAATGTAATTTCAGGCACAGTGAAGTGATTGTGGAACACATTTCAGGTTGTAAATTTATTTGATCTTTTTGAATGGCTTTGCAGCTGAAACGTAAAACAGTATTTAGGGATCTCCAAAGTTGTCAGAGAATGTGCAAATATCAATTTCTTGGCAAAGAAGAAAACAAATTTTGATGAAATAATTGATCTTAGTTTAGAAATGTAAAGCTTTCTTTTAGCCCGTTATCGATTGTTTGTGTAGTGCTAGTGCAGTGTTTGTGTCATTAGTTATAGGGAGAAATTTTTTTTTTTATTTTATGAATCATGGACTGTTTGTGATATGCTGTTTTTGCAATGTTGAACAAAATGCCTATATGTATATTCCCAATGTGAAACAATGTAAATGTTTGTACTGTGAAATATTTGTGACAGGTAATAAATATGCAAAGCATACAGTAAGCGAGGCTGTATAAGGTGAAACAAAAGTGACTTGCAGCATTTTATTTGATCCTCAAAACTAATTTGGGAGACAACATTTTCACTTAGTACTATTTGCAAGATAAATATATTTCCTGCCACTTTTCAGCTTGAAATGATTGAGAGCGCCCTACTTAACGTAACGTTTGATCAGTTTATGCGCACTGTTTTCTTTAAGCACTGTCAGTCAGGCAATCTAAACCACATTTTTATCACGAATGTTGACTTCGGAGAGGTATCATGTACGTGTTCCGCCAAGGACTTTCTTCCTTGGGTGATCTTTGCTTGGGTGTTTTTAGAAGGCCCCTAACAGCTTCTAGAAAGCCTATGGTCGTGAACCCCGGTCTCGCTGTGAATGTAAACACGTGTAGTTTAAGTGGAACCTGACTCACGCTGAACCAATGGAAAAGCACGTTTTTCCAACGTAACCGCCTAGCTCACAAAAAAATGTTACACCTAGTGGTAAATATTGCTGCTTGTTACGCGTTGTGGACGTGCTGCTTGGTTGTGTTCCCACGTTTTGTTGTTTGCAGTCTGCCGTGGGCAAAAGTGCCCCCAAAATTCTCTGAAAATGGATGAGGCTAGTATAGACCGGTTAAAGGCCTTTGTACAGCTTTGCCAGGAAAACCCAGCAGTTCTGCACTCGCCTCAGTTGGCATTCTACAAAGAGTGGTTGGAAAGGTGGTTGTTCAATCATACGTTTTGTCATTGCATTGGTATCGTGAGATAATTTATTTATTTAGCTTTGTCGTAGGCCTCATAGGCCTAAATGCCCTAATTTTGTTTGGCATGTTTTGTAGGGGTGCACAATATTTGGGTTTTGTTTTGTTTTATTCTGGGGGGGGCCCTAACTGGAAATTTAACTTGTGTGTTTAGGCCTACGTGCCTACTTTTAATGAAGCAAATTTGTAGGCGTAGTGTTTTACAGGAAGAGTTCCATATACGGATGCCAGTAATTGTTCCCTGCAGCGATCTAGAAAACAAAAACATGGCCAGAAAAGTTCAATTTAGGACTAAAACAAGACATTTACTTAGAAAACACTTGGAATATTTCAGACCAGTCTCAATTAGCCCCACTAGTGTGGCTCGGACTCTCACTCCCGATCCATCCTTATGGATCGAGAGTGCGAGTCCGTGCCACACTAGTGGGGCTAAGTCTCAATGTGCGTTGTTGCAAAACATGACAGTGCACAGTCTGTTACCATGGTTACACTTGACTCTCAAACATGTTCAATAAAATCAAAATTATCTAGGCCCTAGGTTTACTTTTTCATAAAATGGGTCACGTGCTGTCAAGTGCAAACTTTGTCAGTTTTGTTGGCAAGGTTTTAACCTAGCTCGACCTTCAATCACGACAGTCAAAAGTGATTGCGCAAGTTTCAGTTTCTGCCTGCTGAGGCCAAGCGCATGACATGCTTGACTTTCACATTAATTACATGTTTTGCTGACATGTTGGTGGGCTTAGAATCATACGTCTGCATCAACATCGAGCTAGGAGTTCTCCAAATTTTGTCTTAAGAATTTCCTCAGTGAATTTGATTTAGCTTCCAGGGTGAAAGAAGCTGCACTGATTAAAACCCTGGAGATGCAACACAATATTTCATTGTTGAAATTCATCGGCTAAATGTGGCATGCATAAGACGTAGAAAGATAAAGCTAGATCCCAAGGCACCCTGCCTCCCCCCCCCCAGAAGAGTCGTTATTTGTTGCAATGTCAGTGTGAACAATGCTGCACCCTTGGAATGATCCCAGTATACTCCATTCATCCTGCATCACATGTCTTTGAGACATTTGTAACACACACAGTTGGTGTGTCGGTCTTCAACCCCAACATAGTTTGTCAGTTTGGTGTGAATTGCATTGCATTGCATTTCAAAAAGACAGACAATGAAAGATATCTGATGGTCACAAAAAAAAGTAATTTAAGGTGGAAAACCCGAAGCCTGACATAAAAAGTCTGTCTGCCGGTTAACAAAGTTTCCATGGCCTAAATTCACGCAGTGCTCCAAATTTGCATGTGCTTACCTGTGCACAAGTTAAAACTTCCTTGTGCAAACTTAGATTGAGCAGCCAAGTTTGGGCAAGGGACCAAGTTTGCACTTGACAGTGCCATCAAAGTTACTAAGTTAACTGAACAAGCAGGTCTTTGAACATTTCTTTCATTGGCTTTATTGGTAAGTGCAACTGACTGCTCTGAGTGAGGGAGATCAGAGATGAAAATGGGTTTATTAATTATTAATTATGGGCAGTGCATACGTGTACATATATGTAAAAACTGAGGAAAACTATTTTTATTTATTGTCTCTTGACCCATTGCTTGCATTTCCTTGCACTTGCAGCCTTGGTGCAGAGCTACCCACCCCTGCCATGCCCACATCAGCTAGTGATGAAAACCAGGAGGTGAGTACATGTATATAGCAAGCAAAATTTCAACAAAATGTCAATAGTGCAAGCATTTTGGTTCAGAAATAATGTGTTTACAGTACTAAATTTCATTTTCAATATGTTACATTTAAAATGTCTAAGTGTGATTTTTGAACAACAGAGTACAGAAACAACTATGCTGCTTATTTAGCTCACCAAACTGCCATCTTGTTTGTGTGACCAATCAAGAAAAAAAGAAAGATGGCAGCCTTCACTCGGCCTTCACTCTTCATGCAAAATGTTGGTTTCACTGAATGTACATATAAGACTGTGGATACATTTTCATGTCGTTGATGCTTGTCATTGCTAGATAGCACAGCCACCACACACAATCTTTCCTGTTTTTCTTTCACTCACTCCTCATTGTATATTATGTATGTCCAGAAAATCCAATTCCACACAGGACAAGAAGCTCAGGGATATTTGCATGGTTTTTATTGAATGTCATTTTAAATCTTGACCCCAACTCTCCCCCAATTGCATGAAATTACAAAAGAGCTACAGGGATAGTCAACCAGCATTTTTATTGGACTGACTCTTGGAAGCTACATGTATGTTAACATGAACAACAATTCTTTAAGAGTGTAACTGATCAGAGGCTGCCACAGTAAACCTTACTGTTGTGGGCCAGTGGAGTAGATTTCATTTTTTTAAAAATTAAGTCATGTGTCGCATCCTGATATTAAGGGTTGTTCTTGTTTGTTATCCAGCCGGAAAGTGAGCCTGTCCCAGAACCAGAACCAGCAATGGAACCGGAACCAGAACTGGAACCGGAACCAGAACCAGAACCAAGCAGTGAGGAAAGTGATCTAGGTGTGTGTGAACTGCATTTATTTAGTTATTTAGCCTTTGACTTTTTGAAAAAATGATATCACAAATTTCTTAAATCTTAAATGCAAACTACTCAGCTTTTCAAATTTGCCAGACATGATGATTGACAGTTGTTTTAATTTTTAAGAATTTAATTAGCGGAAGGTGACACAATGATGGAGCAACTTAACGCTCTCCATTTGTCCTACCCCACCTGCTTCCAGAGTTAGACATGGAAGGCGTGATAGAAGGTGACACAGATGAGCCCGAGCCCATGGGGGATGACTCATTGGACGTGACAGACGAGATGATGGAGGAGGCTTCGGACAAGAGGTCACTGGCCATGGCAGCTCTCAACGAGGGTAACTTTGAGGAGGCGATCAAGCTCTTTACAGAAGCCATTGTGAAGAACCCACTTTCTGCTCTGCTGTATGCTAAGAGAGCTAGGTAAGAGGACAGTTGTGAAACCTCATTGGGGGACCAGATATGATGTCTCTTTAATGGCCAAAGCGATGACTGTAGTACTAGTTTCTCATGTTTAAGTTTGCAAATTGTACATAAGTGTAAATTTCACAAATGTTTAGTTTGAAATCAGTTACACTGAGTAACAGCAGTATGGCAAGCGATGTTGACCAAACATTTCATCTTATCCAAGGTGCAATCAATTTTTTTATTAGTGTCTTCATCAAAATGAAGAAGCCTAATGCAGCAATTCGGGACAGCAACAAGGCCATTAAGCTCAACCCAGACTCGGCCCAGGGCTACAAATGGAAGGGAATTGCTCACCGGTTGCTGGGTCAGTGGGAACTGGCCGCTAAGAATCTCCAGAGTGCTTGCAAGCTGGACTTTGATGAGGTGGCATACTCCACGCTGAAAGAAGTGGAACCAAATGTAAGTAACATTTGCTTCTCTCATATATAAAATGGTTTTCCATCGACTAAGTTTATGGATGTCAGACAAAACTAACCCTGACCTTGCTGAATCCAGTAGCAGGAACAGTTTGGTTTGTTTATCAGAAATTGAAAAGGGACCTTTTGTGCCAGTTTTTGGATTCTGTTAGATTCAGCAGGTTTTTTTTCTGCAGTTGAGTGGATTTTATTGACATTCTGTTGAAAGGCACTTGGAGAAAAACCGGAGAGAGTAAGAGAATTGGAAACTGGTGTTCACCATGAGACTAAGCCAAATGTCACATCGAAGTTCTGTGAAGTTTTTCAAACAAGATTGATTTTAAATTAGATTTTTAAAGGCTTATGAGCATTTTTCAAAACAAGTGGATTCAGCTTAGCCTTTGGTTTCAGCTATTTTGAAGCAGCGTTCGAAACCACATGTTCAAGCTCTGACTGGAACCAGCAAAACCAAAGTCTAAGCCGAATCCACTCATTTCGAAAATGCTTTATGATACTTATTCGACTCATTAGGCAAAGTTAAGTTGAAATTTGCCAGAAGGGGCCAAGAAAAGTCAACATTTTATGACCAGTAACCGTGAGACCTTGAGGTCACAAATTAAAGTAGCCAGCGAGCAGTGACCTATTGACCTTAACCCTAACAGTTCTGCATAAAATTTGGCTTGCAGTACTCAGTACTACAAATTACTAAGCAGTAATTTGAGCCCGCAGGACCTGGCGCTACAAATTAGTACTTCTGGCTGGGGCACCCTCCATTTTTACTCCATTGTTACAGAGAACACTAAAGTCGTGCATTCATAGTACAATGTATGGTACATTGTCTTATCTATTGTATTTTATGGCTTCAGAGAACAATAAGGTCATGCCCTCTTACAAGTGACAGCACTGAATGCTACATTTTACTAGTAAGTAGTACTTTGTAGTATTCAGTTAGGACTAAAGAAGTATCATTTGATAAAATGATCCTGTGATTTCATATAGGACATAGATAACGAACCAAACTGAAAACTACTGTAGGTCTGTGGTTACAAGGTCCCATACACTATGTACAGAAAGCTGACTTTGTTTTCTGAATGATTATGTGGGATGGGGAAAAATCGGGGGTGTGAGATTTCAGCTTTTTAGCCGATATTAGCTTGTTTGTTAAGATTAGACTCTGAATTTCAACTTTTTTTGTGTACCTGCTTTGAATAAAATTTTGGGGACTTTTTAAATGTCAGCATTTTACTAGTTCTTAGTTGTTTTTGTAAGTGGCCACTCACACCTCTGATAAAAATATTGATAACTGCAAGACGCAAAACAAGAAATTCACTTGCTGTCAGAGAGATCCTTTATTTTCCTTCCATCATGTCCATTGGCAAAAATGCCCAATGAAAACCATTAATATTTTATAAGGTTTACTTTCATTGGAGTGCTTTTAACTAAACTTGTGCATTTTCTACAGCTGCAATGCTGCATACAAAGTTCTTTTTAGCTATTCTAGATTTTGTTAAAGCAAGATTGGCAAGAGAAATCAATGTCACTAAAAATCACACCTTCTTGTACACTACCATGTCAAATTCATTTAATTCCACACACAATGAATGTTGAGCCTGTGGAATCAACACTCTGAACTCAATAAAATCCTGTTGAATTCAATCAGGAATTAAGGCTTACAGAAATGGAAAGCATTTAGGCTGATTAGCTGACGTCAGAACGATGCATGTACAGTGTACATGCATTATTCTGGCGATGACATCATCCAGTCAGCCTGGGAGCGCGAACGGCCAAAAGGGGATTTTTTTGTTGGCGACGAAATGCAGGATCTTTTTATTCATTTTGCGGTCACAATTAATGGGGTAAACACTAAATTTCGGATGTTTTTGAAATAGTTACGTATTTATTGTTATTTTGAAATACTTCATGCGAGCTAAATGTTTTCTATTTCTGTAATCCTTTAAGATATAACACAAATTTGAAATAATGTGCTAGGTTTTCAGGAGAAGCACTGTGTATGCTTTGCAACTTTGAAAACACATCCCAACAGGTTTTGGCATCGATTTGAATTCTTTTCAAATGTTCAATAGTTTAAAAATAATTTTCCAATCCTAGACCTAATATCATGACAAAATGTCTGTCACTGCTCATGCCAGACACTTACTGCACTGACATCAACCACACTTCACAGAAAAACAAGAAAACAAGTCCCATTATTATTCTACTGTCAACTTCTTCACAAGTAGCTCAAACATTTACATTTGCCTGTTTTACAGGAATTGAAATCAGTTTAAATCACACACTTAACAAGTGCACGTCAATGATTTTCAGGTGGAATTTCATGACACATTGCACATCAAAATTTGCATGAATAATTGCACTACAGTCACAGTTTGAAGCTGCCCACAAGTCATTTGTAAATATTCCAACACTTGGAAATATTCTTAGCAAAAAAGTCAATGGATAAACCAGGGTGCTTGATATCTAATATACACTGGACAGCAAAAGAAACTTGCCACTTCTGTCAAAGGCCACACATAAAAATTCACTCCATAG